AAAAATCTCTGCAAAAAAAAAAGAAAGAATAATTTTCTTTAACTTGATTAATTTATTTATTTAAATTTGATCTGAAAGGGACAGAAAGAGAGAGAGAAAAAGAAATAAAGTGAGAAAGCAAGCCACCAGGTCTGGGACTCAAACTACAGTCAGCCATGTGGGAGTTCAGTACCCTTAACCACCATGCCACCTGCTGGCATGATTTTCTAGCTGCCAGGTCTAGGACTGGAACTACGGTTGGCCATATGGGAGTCCAACACTGTAACCACTACACCACCTGCTGGCCCTGGTAATTTTTATTTTGAGTTTGAGCATTTTATCCACATAATCTCACTTAAATTTCCAAGAAATTTTATCAGGAAAGTTTATTCCCAGTTGCAGTTGAAGACAATGAGAGTCCAGAGAAGTTAAAAAAATTTAATCGCTAGAGGGCACAGGCACTTGCCAGAGAGAGACAAACATACAGAAAGAGAGAGAGAGGGAGAGAGTGAGCACATAAGAGAAAGAACCCCCAATGGGATGTGGTCACATTTCTCCATCCTGTCAAGATTTTGAGCACCCGGGGGCCGGCCAGTGGCACAGTGGTTAAGGTGCGGGACTCCCACATGATCAACCATAGTTTGAGTCCTGGATCTGGCAGCTTGCTTTCTCACTTTCCAGTTTTCTTTCTCTCTCTGGTGAAAAAAACAGTAGTAATAACAAATAAAATAAAATGAATTCTTTAAAATAAAAAGATTTTGAGCACATGTGTGCACATACCTGGCATGTCTTTCAAGCTACTGGGGTTCGGACTTGAACCACAGTCAGCCATGTGGGATCTGGCTTCTTAATCATTAGTCTATGGGACAAACCCTTAAGTAAAGTTAATTTAGGGGCCAGCAGGCAGTGTGCTGGTTAGGGTACTGAACTCTCACATGGCCAACTGAGGTTTGAGTCTTGGACCTGAGGTTAGCTTTCTTTTTTTTTTTTTGGAGAGGTTTTTTCGCTATAGGGCGCGTGCGCTCGCCAGACAGACAGAGAGAGACATAGAGACAGAAAGCGAGAAATCACCCCCCAGGGGGGATGGTCACGCCGCAATCCCTTCTCCTCCATTCTCCTCTCGGGATCTTGGGCACGCACGCACATGCGCCCGGCGTGAGTTTTAAGCCACCGGGTCCAGGACGCGAACCGCGGTCGACTACGTGGGAGTCCAGCGACATAGCCATTACGCTAACTGCTGGTTCCCTGATTAGCTTTCTCACTTTCTCTCTCTCTCTCTGGTGAGCACGTGTGCCCTACAGCAAAGTAATATAATAATAATGATAATAATAAATAAAATTGAAGAAATAATTCTTTAATAATATTTTTTAAAAATCAAAGTTTAAATCTAACACCACACAACCTGGAAGCCATGGAACCAGGACTCAAACCCAAGCTCTGCTTATGCCAAGGGGAAGCATG